GAGCAAGGTTCTCACTCCCCCCCTTACCTGGATAAGCAGGAGTTGAAACTTGGGCAGGACCTCCTCCTCTGGATTCCCTCTTTTTCTTTCCTTCTCTTTCTTTCTTTCTCTCTCTTTCTTTCTCTCTCTCTCTCTCTCTCTCTCCTCTTTCTCTCTCTAAAATTTTCACTTCTTACTCAGTATAAAAATTTTTCACCCCTGGCCCCTATTTATAGGCAATCTGACGCACCCGGAACGGCCCGTACTGATTTCGGAACGGCCCGTTCCGGATCCTTCAAATCGGGGCAAAATTCGCAACTGGAACGGCCCGTTCCAAAATCGAAACGGCCCGTTCTGAAACCAGAATGGTCCGTTCTCAATCTCAGCAGAACGGCCCGTTCTCCTTCCGGAACGGCCCGTTCTCCATACCGGAACGGCCCGTTCCAAGGCCATTTTGGGTCTTTAAAAACAAGCATATTCCCTCTTTTAAACGGCCCGTTCTGCATTTGGAACGGCCCGTTCCGACACCCAGAAATACCCTTATTTCTTTATTAAAATTACGAAAATGCCATCAATAATTACGAAAATGCCATCTAAAAAAAACTGGGTGTTACAAATTCAAATGGGAGATTCACAAGGAAATAATAAAGAAAAGGAAAAGAGAAAGAAAACTATGAAGCTTGGACCAAAGAGGATTCCGATGAATTGTTACAATTGATAGCGAATGCTATAAAAAGAGGATAGGATATTATGGAGAATTATTATTATTTATCTAGACATTATTATTATTTTTATTATTTTTGTCATTGACTCTTTTTAAATTTGAATGTATGAATTTTTTTTTAAATCTTATCAAATGTCAAAACTCCACAAAATCCCACAGAATCCATTAAAATCCTGATTTAAAAGTCTTGTAGAATCCATTAAAATCCTAATTTTAAGTCTGGTAGAATCCTGCAAAATCTTAAAAGTCATGAAAATCCTGCAAAGTCTTTTAAAATCCGCAGGATTTTTTTTCACTAAAAAAGTCATTTAAAATCTTAATCCAATACACCCCCCTAAGACTCAAATAGAGGTATCACATAAAAGGAAACTCAATATTAAACAAAATTAAATAAGAAAATAATTTCAGAAAATAAAAATAAGTATTAAAACTATTTATTGCAACAAAATAAATTTAGATATGTAATGCAGGAACTAATAAAAAATAAATTTTCTAACTAAATCTCAATATCACATCCTATCAGAGTATTTCTAACATAAAACTTAGACTTCTCCAATATATTCAAATTCATCTACATAATCACAATGAAACAAAACATCAAAAGAAAATAGAAGTGACTACCAATGTAGGAAATGACCAGGTAATCACACACATGCATCACAATAACTATTATATAAAACAACAACAAATATCATTAATCACATTTATGACTTTCAATAATTAAGGCATACAAAACAATATACTATATTTACATGATATGAGAAAGTTCATACCACACATTTCAATATCCATCCAATTCATAATTCAAAAAGAATGAGTATGCTATGATTATGTAATGAACAAGACTTTTCTAAAATTATATGCATGATGTGTTAGTAAAAACACTTTATCATAGCCTGAAGGCATGAGTAACCTAAGAGAACATGTTGAGTCAAGTTATCACAATATTCTACACTAGAAGAAAATACATTAATGACACGTCGAGACAATTAATTAGTCATGCAAATTTCACCCCATGCATATAATAAATAGACAAGATGAGAGACTCCCCAAACCTAATTGTCTCAAAGATCATGAATCCTCAAGCTTTTACATAAGGGATCCCTTTCGTATTCTACATTATACTCATTACAAAAATACATAATAAATATGATGCATATTACACAAATTCTAGGCATGGTCATACTTATCACATTCACAATTCACATATACAAGCTTTTACATCACATTAATCACATTCTTGCGCTAGGCCAATCACCCAACTTTCAAGTTGGCTAAAATTCACTTGGACTTAGTCACGTGATCACATATCTCATAATCTCAAGAATTCACATACAAATTCACCCCTTTGCCTGGCAGCCCTCAAGTAGCACTTGATGTGATATCAAAAACCAAGCTTCTGCAAAATTCACGAATTATACTCACATCAATTAAGCTCCATAGTTGAAAGTTAATTTTATGTGAGGAGTAGAAAATAATTAAAGACCTAATTATTTTTAGTTTCTTGCAATAATCTTTCAAATGAACATATCAAAATAAAATTTTGAAAGATACAACCATATATATGTGGAAAAAAGATGAGGAGTTTTCTAAACCAATGAAGACTTTTAAAAGAATTTATGCGCATTAATTAAAAAAAATGTCTTTTAGTTGATTTCCTAATTTTTTTTTATATCGCAAAGGCATATATATAACAACGTTCTCACAACAAACTCAATAAATCAATAATATATATATATATATATATATATATATTCTCAAAATAAATAAATCATTGGGAAGGCTGAATATAATTCTTTTAAGAGTAAATTGCATTTCATTACCCAATGATTTGTTGAAATGACAGCGAAGCCCAAAGATGACCAAAAACTACTCCACATCCCATTTTTATGCATTTAATTAGCTACAAACTTATAAGGGCTAAATATTTTCACAGCATATTGCTCATTGTTAGATTTTCTATATATATATATATATATATATATTGACAAATTTATTTTCACTTTAATCGCAATGAAGTAGAACTGTAATGTACAATAATTAAACAAATAAATGGCTTCACAAATGTTTATAATATGTAATATATAATTATAATAATTGAATATGTAATACACTATTATTCTTTTTAGCGTAATGATTGCGATAATAATTGAATGTAATAGTATCAAACAATAATTTATTATAATAAATTAGTGATCCAATAAATAATATAACTAGTTATTTTATTAATTGAAAATTTTAAAAAAATAACAATGAGAAGTAATAAGATAGGACCATTTATAATTTCATGAATAAGGCCTTTCCAAAATTATAGTGTCGCTGTCTTAAACAATTGTCTCGTGCAATTGTTGGAAAGGTAGTAAACTTACCAAAATCAGGAATTATTTTGAAGGAAAAAGTAATTAACAAGCGCTTGTTTTAGGTTATCTTCTTATGTTCTTGAGAATATGAAAGAGAAAATATTTATTATCACATTTGTTAGAGTGTTATGTAACAATATTTTTGAGAAAATTATATTTTGATGGGAGTTTTATTTATACGGTGGAGGGGTATGTGATATTTTTATGGGATTATTGAAAATTATCTTTAATAACTTTTGTAATTTCTATTTTTGTTTAAATTATTTAAAATTTAAAATATTCTTGACAGTATTAAACTATTTTAAATTTTCAATGATAACCTTCTAAGTTATATTAATATGATTATCATAAATACATCATTCTGTAAAATAAATGTTCCTAATAGGTGAATACAATACTGATGACAATAAAAATTGGTATTAATTTACATGAACGGATACAATAAATTTAATAGCATGATAATAATAGTGTAATTTAACATAATGATAATAATATTCCATGTTAAAAAACAAGTTTCGTGGCAAATATGTATATGAGTATAAATGTCTAATTTAACATGTGAAATCTACATGTCAAGGTATAGATATATATATGGTGAGTCAAAGATGCATTAAATGTTCTTATGCATATAAAAATACATTAAATAATTTAAACAATAAAAAGAAAAAGAATCTATAGAACATAATTAATGAAGACTAAGAAACATAAAATTCTGTCTTGATCCACAAAAAAGGGCATGTATACAATAATTTGCAAACAAAAGCTCTTGATTTATGTCTAGAATTTTTTTTTTATCGTGTTCCATAATAATAAATGCCAAAATACTGCTGTATGAAAAAACTTTTAAAGTTCATAAAGGGATTCAAAGTGTAAGTTTTTTTTTTTTCCTTCACAAAAACCTCTAAGTTTTATAGACTTGTGTTCATACATTGTAATTTTTATTTATTTATTTTTTATAAAAAAACTCCCAATATCAATGAGTGATTAATTATATATACTCATATTATTTTTTAATTTAAAAATAAATTAATTATGATTCTAATTATTCGTTGAGTCTTTAATTAAACAAGGTTGGATTCACTGAAACTCATAATATTTGATTTATAGTGACACATAAAAAAAATCAAGAGTTACAAATATTTTAAAAATGTGAGTTATGAGTCTAACTCAATCCTATAAATTTGGTTTATAAAGTGAGGGTTGTCCCCCTATTTATGTACTTTTTAATTATCTTATTTTTAGTTAATGTGAGACTTTGATTTTTTTTAATACATCCTCTCGCGTAGATAAATGATGGATGACTTTTTTTTTTTAATTTTATGATTTAAGATATATGAAACTTTGATTTTTTTCAATATACTTCCTTTAGGCACACCGCTATTGAACTTAGTGTATATTTTAATGGTAGGTGACCCATTTAGAGTAAATTTAGATAATTTTGATACCATATTAAAATGTGAATTATAAGCCTAATTTAATTTTATAAAATTAATTTATAAGATGAGAGTTGTTATTGATTTATATACTCTTTATTTTTTTTCTCTAATCGATATGAGACTTGATTTTTTTTTTGATAAATATAAAATTTGATTTTTCTTCTATTATAAGCACGTCTACTTCTTAATCACGACATAATTATTTAACAAAGCAACTATCCTTCAATGATTTAATTAAAATAATTTTTCTAGTAATCTAATTATCGAAGTTGACGTGGCAATATAATAACATGTTATGTTTTAGTAGACTTCAAAGGTCAAAATGTGAGAATCGTGTAACTGCAAACTCCCCCATATGACTACCGACCTTATTGTATTTATTACTGTAAGTAGGTGATGCCTTTAATTTATTCAAAGTCAAAGGTCCACCAATCAGAGTTCAGACTTAATTTACTATTTCCTTTTCTCTTTATATAATCGACACATAATTAAGGAATATATGAAATAAAACTTCTTTACGCCTTCATTATTTCCTTATATATAGAAAACACATACATTACAACACATTGAAGGTAACCTAAACATGGATCAAATGCTTGTCTCAAGCTGGTTCAATCTTAGTTCCTCAGTGCCCTTATCCTATGTGCAACCACCGGAAAGTAGACCTGGCAATGGCATAGACGTCGTTGCTTCCGGCAACAAAATCCCGGTCGTAGATCTCGCCCATCGTGATCGTGCTGAAACCTTGAAACACATTTTGAAAGCCTCCCAGGAATATGGATTTTTCCAGGTTCTTACATACCCTAGAATTTTCTTTCCCTTTATTAATTAATTTCACTAATGTCATTTCTACTTCCATCTCATAATTTCTCTATTTGAAAATCAAGAGAAATTAAATGCATTAATATAATCTTTTAAATATGTTATTATTTATTGAGGTTTATTAAAATAAAATCATATTTTTTTTAATTAATAGAACTCACATCATATGTTTTCATTTTTTTTAATCTTAATTTTATAGTCTTCACTGATTTTTAACTAAAATAAAATGTGTATTAGAGGAATGATTTGCTAGAACTCCTCTAAAATTAATCAGCACATGAAGCAAGTATATATTAAAAAAAAAATTCTAGATACAAAGTGCTACAATATTTTCATGCGCTAAAAATATGTATGATCAGAAAAGAGCAGCCAAAAGCTAGCTAGCAAAGCATATGTAACTGATACACATAATATTTGAGGTGTAGGCAAGACTAGCTGTTTTTAAGATTTGAATTCGTGAATTTTAATATATAAAAAAACACGTATATGTTTAGTTAACATACATATGATGAAAAACTATGATGTAGGTTATCAACCATGGAGTTTCCAATGAGTTAATGGATGATACACTGAATATTATCAAGGAATTTCATGCCATGCCTGCTGAAGAGAAGTTAAGGGAAAGCTCTCGAGACCCAAATGGAAGTTGCAGGCTCTATACAAGCCGTGAGATTAACAACAAAGATGTCATTCAGTTTTGGAGAGACACGTTAAGACACTTCTGTCCACCTTCAGAAGAATTCATGGAGTTTTTGCCTCAGAAACCTTCAAAATATCGGTAAAATATTATTGCTTCCATTTTATGTATTTTTGTGTACATAATATTTAATTTGAGCTATATATATTATATATATTGCTTCTACTGCAAACTTAATTTAAATGATCGAGTCTCACAAAATACATTTCTTTTTTCATCTTTGAGTCAGCATTTAGATAAATTATAAGTAAATATTTTGTCATTGATTTATGTTACGTACGATCAAATCAACTTTTTAATACAATTTAGGGTGCGTTTGGATTGAAAATTTAAAATGTAAGTAAATATTTTGTTTCTACATCTAAAAATAAAAAATAACTTTATCATTGGTTGACACGATTCTAATTTAAATATAAATCTTAAGTGTATTCAAACATATCCTCATTTTTCGAAGCATGATTCCCATAAATATTATCTTTATTATACTATTTCAAATTCTTCTAATTTTCTTCGCTTCAGGCATTTTCTATAATATATTTGAATAGTTGATTGATAATGAGATTTTAACTATATATATTGTACTTGGTTGAGTCTGAATCTGAACATTCATGAGTCATCACTGATTCTTCTGCAATGTCCGTGTACATTATTTATAACAGAGGGGCAACTAAAGGGTTAAGACCATGCCATTACCATTATACGTTCATTACTGCACTGGTATTTGGTAACCATTATTATCACCATTACCTACCAAGTACTATATTGGTACATCACGGTTACAAATAACATATATGTGATATTGATATTTGAAATTAAAAAATTATTAAATAAGTACGACTTTAGAATATTAAATAATTTTTTAAATTTAACTGTTTACTATCTTATTGATACTTAAATATATCTCAATATCATCATTTTAGTCACGCATCTTTTTAAGTTTTGCACCAATATAATTATAAATTTGTATTTTTAGAAACATATTTAATAATTTCTTAATTTCAAGAATCAATGTGACAATATTTTACAATTTTGGGGATCAATTTGAATTTTCACTTTTCATATATTTTATATTATATCCCAACTATTATGTCATGTGACAATTATTCATAACTTATTGAGTTATAGATTAACAATATTTAAAATATTGTTTCACATATGTACAATGGAGATCAAATACAATATTTTCTTTTATATACATATTATTTCTGATAATAATGTATGTTCAAAAAGTGTCTGACTACCATATCAATTCATGAAATTAATTATTAAACATATATAAGGGATACACTCCTCTTAATTAATTAATTTATGAAAATAAAAGGTAAATAAATAAGTAAATAATTTTTTCCTTAATTTAAACATGTTATTTTTATTAAAACCTATCTCATTCTAATTAGTATAAACAAAAAGTTAATGAAAGATTCTTGTGTCCACTACAAATAAAAGGTTACTAGTTTAATAATTTAATTAACTATAAGCTTCTGGTGATGACATGTTGCAGTGAAGTTGTTGCAAAATACATACAAGAAATGAGAACATTGGGAGTCAAAATTTTGGAGCTGTTGTGTGAAGGATTAGGACTTGAGCCAACATACTGTAGTGGTGGACTTAGTGATGGCCCATTATTGCTATCTCATCACTACCCACCTTGCCCAGAACCCAATTTAACTTTGGGAGCTCCCAAGCACCGAGATCCTAACCTTGTTACCATTCTGCTTCAAGAAAAAGATATCAATGCACTTCAAGTTTTCAAGGATGGGGAATGGATTCTTGTTCATCCAATTCCCTACGCTTTTGTGGTCAACATTGGGCTTATGTTGCAGGTATATTTTTCTCCACTGATCAGTTAGCTCAGAAAATATATCACCTTATTAATGACATTGACTTTATTTTTGTTATAAATTAATGACATTGATAGAATAAGTAGTACATTGGCATAATACAATATACTAATTTTCATTCATGATTAGATAATCAGTGTTTGTGACGTGCAGATCATCAGCAATGGAAGGGTAATTGGTGCTGAACACCGTGTTGTGACAAATTCTGGCACTGCGAGGACCACTATTGCTTATTTCATTCGTCCAACAAACGAACAGATTATAGAACCTGCAAAGCCTTTGACAAGCTCGGGTGCTAACCCCATCTATAGGTCCATTCCGTGTGAAGAGTTCTTGAGAATATTCATGAACAAGGGTCCTGACATTGAACCACATTTGCTCTTATAACCTTTGTAAAAGGAGAACTTTATTCTATAGAGTATAGACATAATAATACCGTGCATGCATCTAAAATTTCATAGAAATTTATCTTGTTTGCACATCAATAGTCTTCGATAAATTATATATCTAAAGAATCGACCATGTTTGCCACCTTATGAATTATTAGTATCCAGTAATTTGGAAGATGAAAATTGATTGTTGTAATGTAATTTTGTATTTTAAAAGACTAGTGTAACGACTGAAAGAAAAAAAAAAAAAACTAATAATTTAACCGTTATGGACCTGATTAATGATTTATTAATCTTTTTTAGTGATAAATAAAAAATCAAGACATGTATTAGAAGATTCGAGGAAATAGTTAAAACAATAATTATAGTTAATTATGTGAGTTTTATCCTTTCATATAATATATATGAGAAATTTACTTATTTCAAGAATAAATCTATTTGAACTTACTTTTCTTAATAACTCATATTTTATATCAAATTTTAATAATTAAATTAAAAGTTCTTGATATATAGATCAAGTTTGTAAGTTTTTTAAAAGTTTGAAAATTATTTAATATTCTGTTTCATTAATTCAAATTAATGAATAACCATAAAACTATTTTACACATTGATTTAAATTTATATAACAAAATATTAAATAACTTTCAAATTTTTTAAAATTTTACATATTTAATCTATGCATTAAAATTTTTAATTTAACGACTATATCGTTAAAATTTAATGTAGAACATGAATTATTGAGTGAAGTAAATCTAAGTAAATTTACTCTAGAATAAGTACATCTTGTATATATATATATATATATATATATAGAGAGAGAGAGAGAGAGAGAGAGAGAGAGATCGAGATCAATACTCAAAGAGTAAGTTACTCTATTTAATAATTCATAGTGTATGTTAAATTTTAACAATTTAACCGTTAAATTAAAAAAATTTAATACACAATTAAGTTTACAAATTTAAAAAAAAAATTTGATATTTCATTTAATTAATTCAAATTGATGGATAATGATAAAAATATTTTATATGTTAATTTGAATTTATACAACGAAATATCATATAATTTTTAATTTTTTAAAAAAATTTATAAACTTGATTTATGCATAAAAAAAACTTTTAATTTAACGATTAAATTGTTAAAATTTAACATATACCATGAGTAATCGAGTTTAATAATTTTACTAATAGTTATTTTTAAAATCATTTGATGCATTGATATTTTTTAAAATTACACTAATTTCTGTTAATTATATTAATCTTGTGAGAAAAAAAAACATTTCGACTCTATATAAGAGAGATTATTGTACACGTTAAAAGAAATAGAAACATTAATGTAATTTCACAAAAAATTTAAAAAGATGTTATCATAATTTACTCATATCGGTGTACATTATTAAAAAAAAGTTAGAAGACTATATATAAAATTTGTGTGAAGTTAGAAGACTTCATATAAAATTTGAGTGAACAACTATAATTCTGCAAATGGCACCCGCCGTTGTTTTCATATATTATTATTAAAAGAAATCAATTGGCAAAACATTATTTTAAGCCCAACACATCAACTACCACCATTTTTTTAGGATAACTACCACCATTAATTAAAAAAAATAGAAATTGAAATTTTAAGTACGAAATTGATTGGTTTAAGTAAAAAACAAGTAGAAAATTGAATGGCGGTCGCTTAACAAATTATATTTTTGGTACAGACTAGAATGATGCTAAGAAAGGAAAAAAACAAATAAAAAGCAACAACTAATTCATTTGTTTAATTTAACTTATTTTCAACTCAATGGTCGATTCCGTGGGTCTCGAAGTTATGTTTTGAACATTTTTTGTGCAGACTTTAAAATTATTTCCGGTAAGAATGAGAAAAGAAAACGCGTAATTTATATATACGAGAGCTCTGGTCTGTGACAGCGTGGCTACATGAGAAGGAAAGTTTTTGGAGAGTTGTGGTGCAGTCTTACCTACTCTTAAGATTCAGGAATTCTTCTTGAAATTAACTCAATTCTGTTTGTCTTCTGTTCTGGTTAATGGTCTCATGTGGAGAGAATGTGAAATCAACTAAGGGATTGTATTGTGTGAAATACAAATTCTCCAATACTTTAGAAAGTAAAGAATTCAATCCATAAAACATGGAGTCATGAATGTTAGAAATCTGATCGAAAACGTAAAATAAAATGTGTTTTTTGAATGAAAGCTTTATGTTCAAAATTGGTATGAGAAGTTCTATCCTAAATTATGACCGAGACTTAAATCCAAATTTTTTTTATAGCTCTTTCAATTTGTTAATATCTCCAAGTTCCAATCTATTAAAGGGTTAGATGTCTCATACGCTACCAAAACATTCTATAGATGTTCAGCTAAAAGTTGTCAGTTATTTATCAAAGTTGAACAGAGAAAGTTGACATATCATACCAGTTTTACTAGTACTTGTAAATAAGTTGATGGGGTATCCAAATTTTTAATAAGTATCTTGTGATTTTACTTTACAAAGGCCAATGTTCCTTGCCAAACTGTTATGGTGAACCATTTCCCTTGAGATGAGGATTTTCTCGTGGTCTTAAGAGTTTAAATTTTCTTTCTGATATTAATTCTACTTTGTATGTCAAGACCTATTGCAAGAGACTAGCTGAAGCTATTGCAAAGTCAAGTTTAGAAACCAGACAGGATTCCAATATAATCATATATTTTGGGGGACGGATCTTATTAACCAAAGAAATGCTTTGTGTTGAGGTAAAATCACACAACAGTCATTTAACCATTGCAGCCTTTTATTAAACCTCTAATCACATAGCTTGTAATCTGACTGTGCTCTATATATATCGTTATCCGTGCCTAGTTATTATTGAGGGTGTCAAGAAGAGGAGGAGCAAAAATTCTATTCTGAAGCAAAGGAGTTCTTTCATTGCTACTAATACATGATTATTAATGACAACTCACGGTAAAATCAATATCAGAACCAGGGATCAAATAAAAAACAAGTATCTCTATTAAACTTGATCACCCCAAAAGCTTACTATGTGTCTGTTTTGACTCAAAAGATAAACATTTAGTTCAGCTAGTCTGATCACCTACGGATACAATACTTTGTTCAGAATCGCTATCATATATAGAATCTATCATCCAAGGGAATAATGGTGGTGGAAATTAAGGTATAAGGACCGTTGGTGTTTGCAATATCTTGTTGTTCTTGTAACGACAAAGCACGCTCAAGTTCCACCTCTACTTCGCCCATTGTTGGTCTCTCATCAGGTTCATATTCCAAACATCTTACCATGATATCTGCAAAGACTTGCCAACACTCCGGTGCAATCTTACCAATGATATTTGGATCAATATTCTCCTCAACAGGCTTCTCCAGAAAATCTCTTGGTTCTCTTACAATGTCGAAAATTCTTCTTTTGCACACAACTTCTAGTAGAACTATACCAAATGAGTAAACATCACTTTTATCTGTGACGATACCTGTACTGAGATTGTCCGGAACCATGTAGCCAAGAGGATTATCTATAAGAGTAAGTATTAGGTTAGTTTAAGTGACAAAAATGAAAATTGATTGTAGTAAGTAGGCTCATGAAGAAATCAAATATTACCACCAGCCTTTACTTCTATTGGTTTAGGCTTTGACATAAAATGTGCTCCCTTTACGCTAAGGCTGAAATCCGTGAGTTTTGGGTGCATGCTGTGATCCAAAAGAATGTTGCTAGACGTGATATGACGGTGAATGATGGTGCGCTTTAATCCGGCGTGAAGGTAGTGTAGTCCACGCGCTGCTCCAATGCAGATCTCTAGCCTTTCCTTCCATGACAGTTCCCCACCTTGTAGCTGTATATCTAGAGATCTATTGGACATGTATTCATAAACAACAATATGTTCATCTTTGTGGTTGCAGAATCCTATAAGAGAGATGATATTAGGGTGACGAAGCTGGCTGAGCAACTCTATTTCATTCTTGAATAACTCTTCTTCCTTTTCAATAGAGTATTTCACATATAATCGCTTCACAGCGACTTCATAATGAGAAGCATCATTATGTCGGAAATAACCTTTGTATACTTCACCAAATCCTCCAAGTTCAATTAGTCTGTATTGGTGAAAGTTGTTGGTTGCTTTCTTAATATCAGCCCAAGAAAATGGACGGCACAGCTCTTCAATTACTGTTGGATACCCTCTGGCAGTACCACTTGAATTTCCGTCGCCAAAACATTTCAGAAACATAATGACTGTGACACCACAAAGAAACTTTACCTTTACTCTGCAATCGAGTCTTGATATGCTTCTCCTGTATTTAGGCGTTTGATTGCAGCTTCCCTATCCTTTCATCAAAATCAATATCAAATTATCAATTTGATAACTTCTCACTACCTTCCTTCCCTGTTCAATTAATAATAAGGCCAAGTTGTTCTGCAAAATAATTAACACTGGAGCTTCACGCACGCATTCCACGTGATGATGTAAAAACAATAAATTATATAAATAACTAGTGGATAGGCCCTGCAATTTCATTAATATTTTATTTATTTAAAAATACTTATAATTGCATAAATATTAAATAAATTATAAAAGTTTGCTATTTATAAATATAATAATTAAGATATTTTTTTATTCATCGCAGGTTAATGCTCACAATTTATTTTTAAAAAAGTTTTAAATATATAAGAGATATGAATTGCAAAAAATTATATCTATATATTACAATCAAACAATTTTTCTTATTCACCATAATTTATTATATTTTTTAATTAAAATATCATAATATTTGTTAAATAGATTGAAAATAAATATTATGATTATAAATATTCTTTCACTAATTTATTGATCATTATTCCTTTTAAAATTTTGTAATATATCAATTATAAAGTGACAAAAATATAATCGTAATTAATATTTCTTATAATTACATAAAGTTGGCATATAAAAATTACTTGATAAGGATAATTTTTTTTATAATAATATATAAATATAATAATTAAGAGTTCGCATTATTATGTTAAATTTAGTTTTTACATTTTAAGTGTTCGTAAAAGTATTAAAAAGATTTTTTTTTATAACTTTTATCTTTATTTAAGTACTTTTTTATTTTTACAATGAATCAAAATTTTCATGCTTAATAGTTTAGTTAAACCTAATTAGTTATTTGTGTCAATTGTATAAGTCTTTTAGGAAACAATACTCTTAGGCATCATTAAATTACTTATATGAATTGGTATACCTATCAAATAAATAATATACAAATTCGAGTATGTTTAACAAAGATTAATTTTCTCATTTTCAATTTTCTTTAAGAAAAATTTATTTGTAAAATAAATTATTTTTATGTAGCTATAAATTTAAACCTTATGATTATTTTTAATAAATTTTATTTTTTTAAGATGATTTATTATATAAAAATTGATTTTTTTATTTATTTTTATGAAATTAAACATCTTAAAACTAGCAAACACTTCTACCATTATTATGATAAAAAATAATAACTTTGCAACAAATTTACTCAATATTTGATCATAATCTCTCATAGAAATAATCAATTATATATTTTTCACAATGTTTTTACATATATTTTACATATGAGTGTACACTATTAAAAAAAAAACAAAAGACTTTATATAAAATCTTAAAATTTGTGTGAACAGGTATCAAGATTCTCCAAATGGTACCGCCAGTTATTTTTATATACTATTATTTTATTAAAAGAAATAAACTGGTAAAACATTATTATAAGGCCAGCTCGTGAACTCCCATCAATTTTTTAGGGTAACTACTATTATTGAATTTTAATATGGGATATGTTACGGGTTATACTCTCATGCACAATTTTTGAGATTATTTCATTAATTGGAATAATTAATTTGACGTACATTTTGTCTGTTTTAATTTGGCGTACATTTTGTCCGTTTTAATTCTTCTTTATTGCAGAATAATGTCAAATCATGTCAAGGATATGAGAGAGATAATTTAGCCTGTAGTTTAAGATCTGTAGCTGTGTCATATATATGCTTGTATATAATTACCTATTGATTAATAGAATAAGACACACGATTCTTTTTCCATAACTTTGTTATGGTATTTCTCATGGATAAAGCTGAGATCGAGAAGAAGACCGAATTGGTGAAAAAGATACCTTCACCATATGACTTGCATGCAAACGATAATTCAGAAAATTTGATTGGAGGAAGAAATGGAGGTTTTCAAGCAAATGCAATGCAAGTGAATGGAAAAATCAATGGGACTAATGTAAATACATTTAGTGGACTGAGTTCTGAGCAATGACAAACTCTAAAGGATTTGTTGAACAATCACAAGGAAACCACAAGTGACAAAATGACAGGTAAACATAGTGAGTGGATCATAAACACAGGTGCCTCTAGCCACATGACAGGAAACTTGAGTTTATTATGTGGGCTGAGAGACGTAGTTGGGTGTCTAGAGAGAGTTCCAGATGGAAAACAACTAATGGCAAATAAAGAAGGGACAGTGACACTTGATGGAGGATTGAAAGTGGAAAATGTGCTTTATGTGCCAACATTGAGTTGCAACCTGTTGTCTATTTCTCAATTGACAAATGAAACAAGTTGTGTTGTCTATTCACTAGTGCAAAAATAAGATTTAAAATCGGAGTTTGAAGATCGGTTATAAGGTAACCGATCTTAAAAGTGACGCGTGACAATTTTGTAAATAATATGAACACTTTTAAGATCGATTAAAATTTAACCGATCTTAAAAGTACTTTTAAGATTGGTTAATTTATAACCGATCTTAAAAGGTATGTCTGACACAACTTTTAAGATCGGTTACAAAAGAACCGATCTTAAAAGTTGTATTAGACATCACTTTTAAGATCGGTTCTTAAATAATCGATCTTAAAAGTACTTTTAAGATCGGTTAAACTTTAACCGATCTTAAAAGTGCTACTTTTAAAATCGGTTATTTAAGAACCGATTTTAAAAGTGCTACTTTTAAAATCGGTTATCTCATAACCGATTTTGTATGTAGTATACAAAATCGTTTCATAAATAACCGATTTTAAAAGTATCGTCAGAAACCTTTTATATTTCCCTCCATTCTCATTCTCTTTAATCTTTCCCTCCATTCATTTTGTTACTCTCTTGCGCTTTCAATTTCTAAAGTCTCCAATAAGGTAAATTTGGTTGTCATTTTCGTTTTCGTCTTCTCATGCTCTTCTTGCGTCTCTTTTCATTTTCTAATGCTCTTCTCTTGTCTATGTTTTCGTTGCATGTTCATTTTGGGCAAAGTATGAAACTGGAATGGGTCGTATGGAACGGGCCGTTCTGCAAGGAGAACAGGGCATTCTCCTAGCAGAACGGGGCGTTCTCCTAGGAGAACGGGGCGTTCTCCTAGGAGAACGGGGCGTTCTCCTAGGAGAACGGGCCGTTCTTCAGGAAGCACGGCCCGTACTCATTTTTTTAAAAAGCTAGAATGGCCCGTTCCAGTTTAATTTTTTTTTCGCAGCCCGAACTTTTAAGATAGGTTATAAAACAACCGATCTTAAAAGTTAACTTTTAAAATTGGTTATTCAACCGATTTTAAAAGTCTAGCTTTCAAAATCGGCTCTTTTAAAATTGATTACGGAACCGATTTTAAAAGTTAAAAATAACCGATTTTAAAAGCCTTTTTTCCACTAGTGATTTCACTAACAACTTATGTGTTATGCAGGATTGCACTTCAAAGATGTTGATTGGAGTGGGTGAACAATGAGATGGGATTTACTTCTTTAAAGGAATCCGAAGTGAGAAAGCACACAAAGCTAATGAAACTTGTGAACTTAATCTGTGGCATCAACGCATGGGGCACCCTTCTTTCAAGGTCACTAAATTAGCTTCTAACATGAGGTGTGATAGTGGTATTTTGCATAACAAACCATGTGATGTATGTTTACGGGCTAAGCAAGCTAGAGATATCTTTCCATTAAGTAAAAATAATGCTGGTGGTAGTTTTGAATTAATACACTGTGATTTGTGGGGCCCTATAGAACTCCCTCTTCTTGTGGTGCTTCATATTTTTTTGACAATAATGGATGATTTTTCTCTTGCTATTTGGATTTATTTGATTTCTGATAAAAAATAAGTGTCACGTACATTGCTGAATTTCTTTGCATTAATAGAAAGACAATTTGGTAAACAAATTAAAATGCCACGTAGTGATAATGGTACTGAATTTACGTGTTTGAGAAACTACTTTCATGAACACGAGATAGTATTTCAAACATCTTGTCCAGGAAAACCACAACAAAACGGAAGAGTAGAAAGAAAGCATAGACACATTCTTAAGGTTGCTCATGCTCTAGGATTTCAAGGTAATCTCCCTATTTCTTTTTGGGGTGAGTGTGTCTTAACAGCTGGATACTTGATTAATCATACCCCCACTCCAGTGTTGTTTGGAAAGACACCATATGAGATGTTACACGGTCAAGCCCCCATGTATGATCATTTAAAAGTTTTTGGTTGTTTATGCTACGCACACAACTTGGATAGACATGGTGATAAGTTTGCTAGTCGAAGTCGATAGTGTATCTTTGTGGGTTACCCTTATGGGAAGAAGGGTTGGAAATTATTTGATTTAGATACTCAATGCTATTTTGTGTCTCGTGATGTTGAATTCTTTGAAACAGAGTTTCCTTTCACACATACAACTGGGGTCAAATATGATTTATCTGTGGATTCATCATTAATGAACGATGCATTGGATAATGATGATGATAATGATTTGGATAATGACACAAGGATAGGAGAAAATAAACTCATTGAGGTAATTGCAAGTTCTGAAGTGAGGGGGGAACTGTTGCCTTAGATAGTGAGAGAAGTGATGAGCTCGTAGAAAAAGGAAATAATCCAACTCCTAATGTTGACTCACTGGAGCTTGTTCGTCAAAACAGTTTGGAGGAACTAGGAAGAGGTCATTGTACTAAATTGCCTTCCATGAAGCTATATGAGTATGTAACTCACACCATAAAGAAGTTAAGTCCATCTCCAAGTCTCCCATGAGTTACAGTTAAGCTATGCATGGAATTTACTAAGGCAATTGTTTATTATAATTAGCCAGTAGCCAAAAAGCCAACCCATGAACTACATCAACCCTTGAGCGGACAAATCTGACCCTAAATAGAACCCCTAAGCTTACAAAGAAAAACCATGATTGTCCTTAGCCTTGTTGGTAAGAGACATTCTCATGAAACAAGTGGGTTTGAGCCAATTTGGGGGTAAATGTATGGAGTGTTCATGTGGTTAGAGCTGCACAAGCAAAGTATTGTTCCCTGTATATATATGTAGTATTTAGTGTCAAAAAAAAAAAATTATAATCAAGGTTCCTTGTTACCATTCCATCAATTATTGTAATATTCTAAAAGAGAAAGGAACCAGTAAATACCATCAAAAGAGGGATGATACATAACGAATCAAGAGAGTTCAAGTTGGTGCAAGAATTTGGTATCAACCCATATGAGTGAGAATGTCTCTTGTCAAACAGGCCTCTAGATTCCCAAAGAAAAACCAAATCTCTGATAGCCAGGCCACATTACAACCCTCTTAAATCCTTAGTGATCCATGTTTAGCTTGATAAGTGTCTAATTAATCTGATTAAATATGAATTTGAGACACTTATCTAGCATAAATTTTGTACATATTGATATAATTTTGGTTTATAAATACTTAGAATCAAATAGGGACTTTTGATTTATGTTAGTACACGAAGCGATGAATCTTTTGATCAAATTTTGTGTTATTTTGTAGGTTTTGAAATCTAGAGGCAAACGGCTGAGCACCTTGAAACGGCTGAGCGCCTTCAAGCCAGAGAGCTCAACAAATGCAGCAAAGGAGAGGCGCTTAGCCACTCTAAGGCGCTGAGCGGATTTGGCCCTAGAAGAAGGAGTGCTCTCTGCCTCCTAGGCGCTCAGTGGATATGAAGCGCCCAGCCCCTTGTGCTTGCTTATAACAATGAAGAATCTCTCAGGCGCTCAGCGGATTTGAACGACTAAGCCCTTCAGATTACTTCATGGTGAAGAATTCTTGGAACCGCTTAGCCGTTTCAAGGCGCTGAGCGGATTCTTCTCTTTCCTGCCTACTCTGTTTTAATTCTAGCATTTATAAAAGGGCAGGGGAGATAGAAAAGGAGAAGACAGACGGAAACAAAGAGAAAAACAAGAGCTGAGAGCAAAGGAGGAAGAAAGAATAGAGTGGGAACAAAGATTTGGAGGCTGGATCACTTGGGAACGAGGATCAACTCCTTTTCTTCATCTCTTCCTTTGTAATTTCTTCTTCCACTCCTTTGATCTTGTAAATGGCCATGAGGGGCTAAATCTTTGAGGATTGGTCTGGATGTAACTACTAATTCTTCTTCTTCTTAAATATATATATGCATTTCATTTTCATTACTTGTGTTTGATTCTTCTCTTAATGCTTATATCGGCTTGATCACCCGTTGTATGATTTTTGGTTTTTGAATCCGGTTGGAAAACGTTTTTGAAAACCCGAACTGAATCTTGCACCTAAACATCTCTTGCTCTAGGAATAGACTTGATTTGTTTAGTCACCTTGTTCAAGTCATTGTTCTTAATGCAAAGTGTTAATTACAAAACATAGAGGAATCATGTTTTAGATTAATTACTTTAGGATTCAATTTTGAGGGATCTTGTTGAATTACTAAATGAACGTGGAAGT